TTTCTATGATTTAGAACAGCTTGACAAATTAAGGTTTTTGATTAACAATGAATATTTTTATTCCCATCCAGCAAGACCCTATATTTACTATCCCTAATCAATAAGTTCACTGACTCGGTGATAAGATTAATTAACATTATACTGTACTTGGTGTAAGCTAAAGCACTGACTTAAAAATTACTTAGGCGTTTTGTGGGGTCTTTTTTTTTTTTTGCTTACCCATAGAAAGATTGCCTCATTGTTACATACGTTTCCTAAAACTCTATGTATAGCTGCTTTAGGCATGGATAATTGAAATAACTATCAGTGAAAAATCTACATAAGAAAACCGATGTTAACTGAGTATCTACTATTCTAAATGCTGTGTCTTCACTCCTCATAACAACCCTCAATGTAGAATTTTCGATCTACATGTACACTTAAAATTATGGGTTTTAGTGCTAGAGTGATATAGCACATTGGGTAGGGCCTTTGCCTTGTACGCAACCAACCCAATTTCAATTCCTCCATCCCTCTCGGAATGTCCAGCAAGCTACTGAGAGTATCCCGCCCACATGGCAGAGCCTGGCAAGCTCCCCGTGGTGTATCCCATATGCCAAAAACAGTAACAACAAGTCTCACAATAGAGACACTACTGGTGCCTGCTCAAGCAAATCAATGAACAACAGGACAGTGCTACAGTGTAATATTGGTACAATTAATAACATTCAGGATGTATTACACAGGCTTATTGTACTCTAAAGCCTTTTTACAGGGACCTTTGGGAAACTAGTGATAGCTTTGGAATGGGTTCTGGAGAAGACAGTACATCTGAGGACTCAGCAAAAGTTTAGAGAACGGCCAATACACACACACACACACACACACACACACACACACACACACACACACACAAGAAACCACACAAAAACAATAGTAAAGTGGAAAGAGGCAGAATTATATAGTAAAAATCTGAGTTTGTGTGGTACAAGGATGAACTAGAAACAAAGTTAGAGTTTGGAGTGACTGCTGCAAGCAGTCTTAAACTTCAGGGGGGCTTAGGCTAAGTGAAGTGGTTATCTTTAACTGAAAGGAAAGACAGAACGTATGTTACTAAAGTAACAGTAAGTTTTCTATTTTACAAATATATACATATATAATTAAATTCATTAAACATGCATAGCTTTTTTCTAAACAAAACCAATTATTTTCCACCTTAATAAATTTCAAATTACTATCCATTCTTCAAAAGTACAACAAACATTTTTTTCCAAACCTCTTGACATTGTTAATGGTAATTAACTCTTTCCCCATATGTGTAACCATAGACTTTATTTTTGCCTACTTTATTTTCTTCTGTATCTGTTTCCTTTGCTATAAGAATAATACACAAGGGAAGAGATAATGCCTTGGCACTGTTTGAATAAACATAAGAAATGTCAATAAATGTCAAGCATAGATAGTTAAAGTAAAAAATCAAAAAAGGCACACCATGTAAACAGTAGTCAAAAGAAAGCTAGAGTGTGAAAAAAGTGATAGTAGATAATATCAAATGGATAGTTAAGCAAACAGGGTCAAACTAGACTATATTTTAAAAAGACACAAAGCCTGTCCAGCCCACTGCATCTTAAAACAGGACACCCCCATCCTTTGAGCAATTCACTCCCAGGGCTCACACTTAAAGTTAAAACCTTGAGAGAGTGATTCAAGTTTACCCTTTTTTGCCAGCCATTTATCCACATCTTGCTGAAAAAGTCTTGCTCAGTCATTTTCACTATGCATTGTATCTGATTCTCAGCAGCATCTGACCCCAATTGAAATACTCAATGCTCATTCTATAGGACTTACATCTTATCTCTTTGCCTATTCCTTTATAATCCTATCTTCTTCTACTCCTATGTCGTATGTTAGAGTTTCTCAAGTTTCGTTCTTAAGCCTTTTGTATTCCTATTCTATAAATTTTCCTTAAATGATATCACTTTTGCTAACAGCTTTTAGTCCACACTCTAAGACAATAAATTTAAAATCTTCACAAAGACATAATGCTTAAATTCCATATCAAAAATCCTCTTAACATATACAGTTAGGTATCTCAAAGGAACCTCAAATTCAACATACTCAAAACTAAATTCACAACAGCATTAATGTTCTCCTATTTCTCAGTAAATAAGATCACTGATTCATTTCCAAAGTATAAAACTTAGAAATTGTTCTAATAGACATCTTTCTTATGCTCTCCACATCTGATCATTTTTTCATACGAGAGTTAAACTTATATTTTACAAAAAGCAAATTTGAACATGTCACTACATAAAGGTTTGCCAACGACTTTCCCTTATTCTTAAAATAAGACAACCAGTTCTGATCTTTGCCCTTTCTTTTTAGACTATCTTATTAAGAACATCCTTACACTCTCTCGCTCTTTATTACAGTCACCCTGGTCTTTCTCAATTTTTCTCTAGTCTTTGCAGAAATGCTTCATCAGTCACCGTGGTCTTTCTCAATTTTTCCCTAGTCTTTGCAGAAATGTTTCATCTAGTCTCCTGATATATAGAGTCTTTCCACCCCTAAATAATATCTACTCTAATAACATTCTTTAATATTAGCTTGGGCTGGAGCAATAGCACAGCTGGTAGGGCGTTTGCTTGCATGCGGCCGACCCAGTTGACCCGAGTTCAATTCCTTCACCCCTCTCGGAAAGCCCGGCAAACTACCGAGAGTATCTCGCCCACATGGCAAAGCCTGGCAAGCTACATGTTCCATATGCCAAACACAGTAACAACAAAGTCTCACAATGGAGACGTTACTGGGCCCATTCGAGCAAATCAATGCAAAGTCTCACAATGGAGACATTACTGGGTCCATTCGAGCACTCAAGCAAAACAGGAGGACAATGCTACAGTGCAGTGCTAATATTAGCTCAAGTTCACTTTCTCTTAAAAAATTTATTACTTTCTAAGAAATTTAAGGAATCATTTAAAAAAATGAGCTTTAGTTGGAAAACAGCTAAACCAGCTGTAGTACATATTGGCATGTGGAAGGTCCAGGTTAAATCCCCAGTACCACATATGGTCTCAGAACACTGCCAGGAATCACCCAAAACTCAAAAACAAAACAAACACCCAATAGAGCTTAGCTGAAGCTTCATCTCAGGAATCAAAAGACTGCTTTGTTCATTTATTAAATAATTTGCTAGTATTTCTCATTCTTTAAACATTTGCTGAGCACCTATAGAGGGCCTAGCCACTATTAGCACTAGAGTGACTTCACAGAAGTGAAATAAACACCCCAAATTTCTTATTTTATTTTTAAGGCATTTATATCCCACAAATAATAGTGTACACAGACTACTGTCAAACAAATAAGTCAATGAATGATAGAGTGCTATTGTTAAAAAAAAAAAATCAAGGCTACAAAGGTAGAAGGCAGGCAAAAAGTGGTAAAATGGGTTTGTAAGAGATAAGACGGGAGAGATGGGTGGTTCCAACTTTCTCAAGAAATAATACTACAGAATTTCAAGGGTATGGCTTCTCACCTCTGTACGTATATAATTCTTGCTAGGCATATTGCTAAACTTCTAACACCATCCTTTTACCAAAGAGACCTCTTAACTTATTTCTCCAGTCCCTCTCTCCTTTTCCTCTGATAATCAGTGTAGCTTTTATGAAATCTAAAAGGTAACTTTGATTTTTTATTGCAAGTTAGCTTGCTGTTGTAATTTATACATTAGTGAAACCATCTGTTAATTTCCTTTCAATTCCTTACTTATTTCACTTAAGCACAATCTCCTCAAGTTCTACCCATTTCCGCCTAAGACATGATTTCCCCTCCTTTTTGAGGGTAAAGTAGCATTCCATTGCACATATGTACCAAAGCTTCTTTACCCAGTCGTCTGTTGAGGGACATTTAGGCTGATTCTATGTTTAAGCTATTGTGAAAAAAAGCTTTTTGAGACTATGAAGATAGAAATATTTTTTTGAATTTGTGTTTTTATATTCACTGGGTAAATGTCTACTCTGGATAAAATGGATTTTCATTTTTAAAGGACTCTTTAGGACATTTTCCATAGCGACTGTAGCAATTTACATTTTGTGGTTGCAATTTTAAAATACTACAGACATAAAGGCTTAATTGGGATGCTGAGACTTGAGCTAAGATTTGCAAGAGCTGAAGAAACAAGACTTAGTTATACATTTGTTTGCTTTAAGGCTAATTCTTTGGTATTTTTCTGTTTAATCCCCCATTTGCAATAGGTCAACAAATGAATGATAAAATAATACTGATTTTCCTCATAAGTCACCATAATCCATTATAATCAAACCAAAAATTAAAAAAGACATTGGAAGTATTGGTAATCATCTGAAACTCTTTGTTGACAGATCGGCGTTTCAAGAAAAAAATTTTATATTAATTTTCTTCCTTTATAATCACAAATATATTCATTTTTCTATTCCCCAAACACATATTTCAAGTGTAGAAAAATTTGTTTAGTCTTAAGTGAGCCCAAATTTCATCATGGGCTACAATTTTAGGACATAAAATGAATGCTGCAACTGAATTTTAATCATATAGATGAATCACAACATGCATCTTTAGTTAGGCATGTATTATGGATAAGTCTAGTTTTCTACAGAGAATAATCACATGTTCTAATTACCATTTTGGTTATACGCATAATTAATAATATTCTGTCTTAATGGGACACGCTGAATCTTCAGACAGTTGCAAGCTTTAACTATGCACACTGCCAAATCCAACTGTCAAGCTGCGCTGCCAAACACAAAGGAATCTTGATGGAGTGTTTTAGCATTGATAACAATATGCGTATCTTTATACATGATACAGTGGAAAAATTAATGGCTTTTCTTCCTTCAAAATGTTCTCCACATTAGTAATTTAATGTTGCCTGATTGATCTTTACCCTAAATTATATATATTGGCACATGACCTTAGAAGTAATAAAAGAATGAATGTAAATGTGACCCAAGATTCGAAGAAGGAAAATATAATGTGGAACTTACTGATTGTAAACTTTCATTTTCCCGTAAACAAGCCGTGTGAAGTTCTGATTTCAAGGTAGCAATATGATTTCGATGCGATGTCATTTCTTTCTCTAATGTAGTGATTCGATTGCTTGCAAGCTGGTAGACATCCACGAAGCTTTTAATCATAGCCTTAAGAAATAAAAATAACATCAACATACAATCCAAATAAAGCTGTCCCCAGAGGAGAATTTCCATAATTTGAATGCAAAATCATTAAAATTTTAAAACAAACAACTTTTATCTATTTTTAAGTAATAAAGCTAAGTGTCACATTGTACATTGAGAACAGTGTAAAAGAACAGACTTTTAAAAGTTTGGGAGAAAATAATTGATACTTAATTTACAGAGTACATATTTTAAAAATATGCACTTGATCTATTATGCTTAAAGTTCAAAAAGCAGTTTTTTAAAAGACGGAACAGTTATTCTCTTTGTAAAGTTAAATTCAAGATGTAATTTGACCTAAGTCTTGATCTTTAGTCTGGAGGTTTGTTTGGGCCAGACCCAGCAGTTTGAGCGGGGCTGGAAATAATTCCTGTTTTTGTGCTTGGGGATTGTGTGGTGCTGGGACCTAATCAGGTTTAGACACATGAATTTTAACCACTGTAACATCTCTCCAGACCTGAAATTTCGATCTTAAGATATACAAGAGATGGATATATAAGCAAGATATTTCAAAATGAGTTAGCAAAATTTTCAATCCATGTCATAATCAACTGTTTCGAAGACGAAGATAAAGTAAATTTTGTTTTCTTTTTTCCTGTTTCTTTTTTGCAATGATAATGAGGGATGTCAGATCTCACATATATACAGGGCAATCTTATGATTTATTTTAAAAAGTGATGATTTCTATATTGTAAGAAAGTCATGATGATGTTGATTTATATAATATATAATACACTTGTGCAATAAGATATATTAGTAAAATATCTAACACAGCTAGTCCTGGTACATTTTTGTCACTCATAAATAGTCATATTAAAAAAGTGGACTGTTAGACCTCTCTATTATAGTTAAATTTTACAGATTATTTTTCTGAAGCAACATATGATAAATTTTAAGTCCAAGCATATTATTATACCATTTAAAAGTCTTTTTATATACTTGAAACATAGCAAAAATAAAACCACATATCTCAGGGACAGATTCAAATGTTATAGCACTTTCAAGAAAAAAATTTCCGAATACAGCTACAGTTTAGTACAATGTAAACAAACTGAGAATTTACAAATTACATTGAGTTGTAAGAGTTTGATTTGAGACGATATTAATGAACTAAATAACCAGGGAATTCTGAATGTATAGGAAGTAATGATCTGGTGAACAAAGGATAAAAATAGTGAACAGAATGTTTGAGAAACAGAAGTAGGTTAGTTATTTTAGGAAAGAGTAAGAAAATTTACACCTTTTTGCCTAATTCCTATTTGCCTCTAAAAATCCCACTCAGTCATCACCTCTTCCTAGTGTTCTCTTTTGAGCTTCAATACAATGTTAATTTCTATTTATTTCCGGTGAGAGGAATATACCAGCAGGTACTCAGAGGCAACTCATGGCAATACTTGGGTTACCAAGTTGTGCTAGGAATTCCACATTCAAAACTCGCAATCTACTTTTTGATCCATTTCCCTGGTCCTCTGTTCTGTTTCTGTATAGGTGCTTCATGATTGCTTCTACTCTTGCATGTATTATATTAACAAAAGTATATTAGCTTACATGTTTATCTTTAATAGACTGAGGAACTCCTTAGGCCTAATACCACAAGGGCTCAATCAACACCAACCAGCTCAGTAAATCCTCATACAATGACTCTAGTGATGCCATAGTGAGAATGTTTATCGAGCTCAAGGACATAATTGCACAGGTAATCAGTAAAGCAAAAGTATGAGAGTTGAAATGAAAAAATACAACAAACAGAAATGAAAAGTATGGTCGGTGATATAAAAACAATAGAAACTCTGAGCAGTAAATTTAAAAAATTAATAGTAGTGGAGGAATACAAGATAAAAGAGTTTCAAGATAAGATGAAGGAAGTCACTAGAAAACCCAGAAGGTGGAAAATAGTCTGAAAAGAAATGAACAGCATACCAAAGAACTATGGAATGAGTTCAAGAGGAATAGAGTAATAATCATCAGAGTCCCTGAAGGCAAATTACATGAAGAAATAATAGTTTAAAAAATCATAGAGGAAGTCATGAAATTTACATACAAGTAGTACTACACGGGGTAACATGCTAAGTGAAATGAGTCAGAAAGAGAGTGACAGACATAGAAAGATTGCATTCATCTGGAGAATATAAAGTAACAAAATAGAAGACTAACACCCAAGAATAGCGGAGATAAAGTACCAGGAGATTCACTCCATGACTTGGAGGCCAGCGGCACACGCTAGGGAAAATGCAACTCAGATAGAGAAGGGAGCACCAAGTAAAGGGTGTTGGGAGGATCCTCCCAGGATGGAAGATGCATGCTGAAAGTAGACTATAGACCAAACATGATTGCCACTCTTTTGCAAACCACAGCACCCAAAAGGAGAGAGAGAACAAAAGGGAATGCCCTGCCACAGAGGCAGGGTGGGATGGGGGAGATGGGGGGTGGGAGGAACACTGGGATCATTGGTGGTGGAGAATGGGAACTGGTAGAGGGATAGGTACTCTATCATTGTTTAACTGAACCCCAAGCACAAAAATCTGTAAGTCTACAACTGTACCTCATGGTGTTTTCACTAATAAAAATTTTAAAATAAATAAATAAATAAAATTAAAAATCACAGATAATTTCTCAGAGTTAAGGAATATAGGCAGAGATACAAGAGGCCCAAAGGGTCTGAGCGAAAATAGAGCCAATTAGGAAAACTCCTCATGACAAAATCCAAACACAGAAACGGAATACTGAAAGCAGCAAGATCAAAAAAGTACTTACATATAAAGGAAAATCCACAAGATGTACAGCAGATCTACCAAATGAGACTCTATGAGCCAGGAGAATATGGTTGGACATTGCACAAAAACTCAATGAACTGAACACAGCTAGATTAAATTCATATTTGAAGCAATGATACAGAGCTTCAGGGACAGGCAACAGATGAGAAAATTCAGAGCCTTGAAATCAGTTTGAAAGAACCATTAAAGGAGCCTTCTTAAAAAGGCAAGACAAACTCCTCAGCACTTGATGGTGAATACAGCACTCACTCATGGTGCTTAAGATTGCCCTCTACTAGATTAATAAAGGTTTGTTTACTCCTATCCTGCTAAGGGATTTTATACATTTGTAACAATGAATTAACATTTCATTTATATCAAATGTTATATATCTAATCAGGTGGGGTCTTTTTATATCCACGAAGAATTTTTTTTATAATTCTTTACTTATTAATGCTGACACTTAAGAGTAATTATAATATTTTCTAACATACTGCCTTTCTTAGGATAAAACACACTTTCATACTTATATAGGCCTATTCTGATTCTCCCCCTTAAATTCTTCCTACCTCTCTTCCTCTTACTAAATTTTACATTTTCAGAATATATCTATTTCATGTAAATCTTAAAAAGCATTAGCACAGAATTTTTCATAGTACTATTTTTAAATTTACATATCTATTAGAAAAGTTAGTTTTGAAAGCAATATTTAATCAATTCATCATTGATATATAATTTTTATATTTTTATAATTTACAATTTTTATAATTTCAAAAATTTATCTCTTCTTACCTATTTTATTGTGTCATTATTTATACAATAAAAAAGAGAGATTCCTAATCCCAAATATCAGATAAAAAAGAAACATAATAAGGGAACAACAGATAGTCGAAGCCATCAGTACCGAAGGTTTTTTATTCTATAGAACTGAGTTTACATGGTGTGAGTTGGGGCAAGATTTCCCTGGGACACTGGTGGTAGGTGTGGTGTTAGAATGATGTATGCCATAGAAGTATGACTAACAATACTATAGGTAAAGGTAAAGGTAAAGGCCCTCCCGTTGATCGTCGATTTGCTCGAGCGGGCCCAGTAACGTCTCCATTGGAGACTTTGTTGTTACTGTGTCTGGCATATCAAATACTCTCGGTAGCTTGCCGGGCTCTCCGAGAGGGGAGGAGGAATCGAACTCGGGTCGGCCATGTTGGCCGCTTGTAAGGCGAACGCCCTACCCGCTGTGCTATATAAATACTATAAATACCACTACCTGAATAAAAATTGTTTTAAAAAATTTAAAAAACATCCTACTCTAAATTTCAAGAAACATCTTTCATGGCCATGTACATAATCTTATAAAACGAACCAATAATATAAATAAAAATCTTTCAAAACACTTTGAGTGACTATTCCTAAATTTTTATGATTAATGGTACAAAACTCTTAATTATTAAGGCTCGTCCTTTATCTATTTTAAAACTAAATATTATGGTAAGCAGTCAATAAAAATAAGCACCAAGACTCTGACAAGGATCTTATAACTGAATTACCAAGCATGGAGTTGGGTGGTGGGCCAGATGGAGAGTGGACCAGAAATGATCTAGTGACAGAAGGGGAGAGTTTGGGGAACTTTGGTGATGGCAGTAGCGGTATTGCATCAACTTTGTAATCAAAATCATAAACAGCACTGCTGTAAACCATATTACTTCAACAATAATAATAAAATAATAAATAAAACCAAGTAGCTAAATATATGGTTAAAAATTATCATAAAAAATTAAGACAACAAGCTAAAATCAGTGGAAAAACTTATTCTAATAATTAGTGCAGTAATAAAAGAAATCTCATATTGCTTCTTTTATTCAAAAGCATATAACAGTAACAGTCTTTTTTGTGCTTAGTATTTAGAATCTTCTGTAACATTGTCACCCCATTGTTTGTCTATTTACTCGAGCGGGCATCAGTAACGTCTCTATTCCTCCCAGCCCTGATATTTTAGCAGCTTTATCTCCTTACTTGTCCTTCCCAACAGTGCCATATTGAAGGCTCTTTCAGGGTCAGGGAAATAAGACCTGTCATCATTATTGTTTTCGGCATATCGAATACACCACAGGGGGCTTGCTAGGCTCTGCCCGTGCGGGCGGGATACTCTCGGTAGCTTGCCAGACTCTCCAAGAGGCATACTTATATATATTTCTCTCTATGATTTGTTGCCTA